AACATGTAAAGACAATGCAAGATTGGACTTTTTCATAAGCTATAATCACTCCTTAATACACTTTCTTTGTGCATTTTGAAATAATAAATTCCCTCTCATTGCACAGACTGATAACATGACCTTCTAAATGCTCTGAATCTCTTTCCATAAGTAAGTGGTTTGGGGCTTTTTTTTTTTTTTTTTTTTTTTTTTTTTTTTTTTTTTTTTTTTTTTTTTTGTTTGTTTGTTTGTTTGTTTGGTTTTTTTTGGCTTCTGATCTTCTGTGCTATGGTCTTTTGCTTGCTATAGAGTTTGAGGAGTGTTTTATAGGTTAGTTTGAGTTAGGACAAGAAACACAGCAACTGTACTGTGTATACTTCAACATGTATTTGTCTGCATGTAGGGTCACCTGCAATTGCTGGGGACTGGAGTCAGGGATTCACATTTTCCCCCCCTTGTGACTTTGCAGAGACAACAAGTATTGTAATATTGTGGAGTATGGCATTGAGAAAGAAATTATAAAATAGGACTTCAGGTAGCATATCTATCATAAGGGAGAAACAGCCTGATAAAAAGAAAAGATAATTCAAATACTTTTGGGGAAGGATAATTTCCTAGCTTCTCATATAGTGGCCATAATGTTTCATTGCTTTTCCTCCATCACAGTGCAAAAGCATAATCTGTATAATCCTCAGAGCATGCTTCTAGAAAGCACGTAGGGACTTACCAAGTTACCTCTTCAGAAATGCCAGCCCCAGGTAGTTGGGAAAAGCAAAAGAAGGCTCAATTTCAAATTCAGGTCCCTTATCTTGGCCATTGGATGACTGAACAACTTATGATTTCATAAAGCTAAAAATCTAAATTCCACTAGTAATTAGAGCTGAAGAGCACAGATATTAGAGATTCTTGGAGATAACTGAAACAAGTTTTTACTCTTTCAAAATGTCATGCAATGAAGTAGTATTCTAGAAGTTTTGGGTTAATTATGTCAGTAGTCATGTTGAATTAACAGTTAAAAATGCAGACCAAAGAGTTCACAAATCTTTGAAGTGTCTGCATGTGGATGGATGGGTGAAACTCAAATAAGAGGCAATCTCAATTCCATTTGGCATCTGACACTTGTGAAATCCTGCCAAATCAACAGGACTTTGTCCATGTGTATTTCTGTGAAACTTCTTCCAGACCTGAAACTCTCAGTTCAGGATCCATGGTCCAGGCTCAAGTTCTTCCTAAAGAGGAAACTGGTCAGCTATACAGGTAACTGACTGAGATGTTGCAAGTGTCATAGAGACATTTTTATCTTTCTCAGAGTTATGGCATAAGAATATAAAGAAACGTGTCAGAGTAACTCCACCCCAAGCTGTTATTCTTTCTTTTCTGTCATCATGCCCTATAGTGTCAAAGCTGGAAGAAGAATGGGTACTTTATCTTGGTAGGAGAAGAAGACATTTGTAAAATTCCATCATTTCAGACACCGAATGGGCTCTGTTGATACAGACCACATTCCATAGTGGAGCCATCTAAACCTGAAATCAAACAGTGAACATTTTTGTCCTCAGAAGACAGAAGAATCAAATTTTGAAGTATGATTGAAGCACAAACTAAGAAATGGCAACTGGAAAAAAACAAGGATTAGATTTTAAAATTGCAGAATACAATGAAACAAAAAGCATTCAACGTATAAATCACCCAATGAGACAATTAAATAGCGATACAGGACATGAAACCTGAAAGGATGTTGTCCCTTGCACCTTGATTTTAAAGAAGTTATACTGAAGTAGCCTTTTCAGAACATGCAATGGTTGAAAATTACTTTAAGATCCAATAAATCATTGGAAAAGGAAAACGAGAAATAGATATCTAAGTCACTGCTATAGTCAAAAACCAGTTACTGAAGTATGCTGAATTTCGAGGTGTGCTTTAAGACAAAAGTAGTCATAAAAATCCTAGTCACTATACAGAAAAGTGAAAATTATATAACTGATTTTTACTGCCCAGACAGAAATACATGAAAAATATGGCAAAACAAAAAAAGGCCCATCTTTCCCTTCTCAGAGAATAATACTAATAAAAAACCCAAACCACAAAAAATAAATCCTCAGTCCATTCTTTCAGCCTTCCTCTTCCCCTGGAGTCACTGTATGTGCACAGGATTCGACGTGCTAAACTCATGGATGTTCTACTATAACTTGCTGAACAATCCTTACAGGATCCCACTTGTTCCCTCTAACATACTCTCAAGAGAAATATTCCAGCAGCACCCACTTAAAGGTGGATAGTGACCAACTAAAACAGTCAACACAAAGTTTAGAGAGACCAGAGACTGGAATCCATCTCCAGTGGAAAGGCTTCCTATACTATATATTACCCAAAATAAACACAGCGTTAACATCCAAATCCAGACAGTCATGATAAATGGGTGCAGGGGAGGCTGCATGACTGCTTTACAAACCTCATGAAATATTATAATGAGTATTAGCACTGTTCTGACAAGCCAGCACAGTTCACTTTGACTTCTAGAAAACTGATGATGATTGTTTCAATTTCTGGCATTCATATTTCAGTGACTTCTATGAATCAGTTTTTAATGATAAAAAATAAAATTGCCTTAGAGGTAACTGGAACCAACCCACAGCTTGAACTTAGTCTAGCTCTGAACCAGTGGGAAATCAGGATGCTCTGCAACTGCCTACTAAGGCAACAACTAAATGAAGAATACTTTGACTCATTTTTAAAGTACAATTTCTACAAGGCAACTCTTGCTCAACCAAGGTAATTTAATTTCATTTAATACAAATTACATTTAACACAATACATTTACCTGTCTTAATTACAATTGTCAGAACATGCAGTCTTGCAGCTGTTCTATCCTAACTCAGCTTTCAAACAACAGATTTCTGAAGTATTACTTATGCATGTCAAGAGTTCATACTCATGCTTCATCTTTGCCAGACAGGAATCTATACACAGATGACACAGGAGTTAATAAAAGGCCAGTACAAGATTCCACAGACTAACCTTACTGCAAGGAGCAATCCAGTAAGCCATGGACAGGAAGGGCAGTCCTACTGCAACTGCAAGAACAACCAGAAACTTCACTGCCATGGTCTGCTGCCGCAAACCCGACAAATTCTCATACCAGATGGACAGGAGTTGCTGCTGGCAGTTTGGATGTGCTACAAACTGTGACAAAGAAAAGGAGAACAAAAATAACTTTGCTATCAGAACATCCTTTATTAAAACAACAACTATATGAAGCACATTAAGAATGTCAGAACAACAACAATTCAGCTTATATTCAAAGGAGTATTAATAAGGGTAAAAAAAAGTTTTTTGATAAGCATAATCTTGCAGCATTCAGACATGCTGCTATCAACAATAAATCCTTTAATCTAAAAACTTGTTCTTTTATTGACACTTTGTTCCATCACAAACTGTTAATTGCCATCTCAGGGTAATTAAACATAAAACTTTATCTGGGCAAACTCTACTTGTTTCTGATATCTATAATTTTTATGTTACTACTTCATAAATTACAAAACTTTAAGTCTCATTACTCTTACTCTTCTGATGCTATATAACCTTATAAAAGAAAGAATGTGCCACATTTGCACATGGTAACATAGGAAATACAATTTTTTTTTTCAGCTGGCATAAGAAAACAGCTGTCACTTTTGCAGGAGATTAACTAAGGACTATTTATAATTTGGTTCTAGAATCTTCCGGACAAACTGCAAAACTGAGAAGTTTGTTTTATAACCTGCTTTTCTGTGAAAACCTCTGGAGATTCTATGAAGCATCTTAGAAAGGGAGTAGTAATAAACAGCTGATTCTTGTGCACCATACATTTTTAAATCTAGACTGGGAAATATAATTAAAAATTCAACCAAATATAGGGTTTTTTTCTATTTTTTTATATTTAAAGGATGACTGGCTGAAGGTGCAAGAAATGTCTTTATTCAGACAAGAGAGAGTGTTGAAAGACAGTTCACACTCAAGGAAGGGTTATGATTCAAATACTACAAAGGACAAGGTCAGTGTGATATCTTCTCTTCAAAAGTTGCTTCAGCTCTCTTCAGTGACCATAGCTTGCTAAGTGTTTTGCAGGTTTGTGTTCATACACTGGCAGGTGCTTTTCAGTCAAAATAGTTTTCTTCTTCTCTTCCCTTCATAAACACATAAATAGTCCTCAAATACGAATGTTTTAGGTGTCTGCCAGAGATGTGAACTCAGATTTTGTAAAGAGCCTGCAGTTCTTCCCTGTTAAATTAGATATGTCTATTGAGTCCATACCAGATTCTTAAAAGCCCTGACTGCCTACTTATTTTTGTTGTTGTTCTTGAAATAAGGTATTGGGGTTTTTTTTCCTACTGTTGATCTGATCCATTTCACTATGTAGGAAAAGTTTTATCAAAGGTCTTCCTTCTCAGTCAGGAGATAGCTCTACTCTAGGGCAACTTTCTTTTAAAGTATATTCCTGAGCTGTATCATCTTGATCATCTTGATGTTCTTGATGAGTTGTACAAACTTCATCACATAAACAGTTTCTCCCTGGTTCACACATAGGTTGCCTAGAACTTTACAACTGATATTATCCAAGAGAAGTTTTCTGGATAATTCAAGGGTCTTGTTGCAGCTACTAACTCAGCTGGTTTCAGATGCAGACCAGAGTATTAAACTGACAGAAGACAGGAAAGCAAGCCAAAGAAGGGATGACAACTTCTGTATCTGACACTGCCCGGAGCCTGCTGTTCTTTGGAACTGAGAACAACAGTACTATTACTCCTAGATTGTGTCTCTGATCCTCTGTACACACAAATACACATTTTCTGTGAGACACGATTTCACCAAGTTTTCACAACTGCCTGAGTAAGACACAACAGCTTGACAAAAATGTCTATCAATAATTGTTGCCATGCAGCACACAGGACTGCTGTACTCTCCTCTGGTTTTCATGGAATGTTTTACTTTTCCAGGTCGCAAAAGTAGTGTAAACTTCTTCTATTTTTTTTTTTTAAATAGATTAAACATAAAAACATGTAAATACTTAAAAATTTTGCACATAGATACACTTTTTAGAACCATTTGCCTTCATACCCACTGTGACCAGTAACCATCCTCAATATTTGCTGCTTCTTTATATTGCAAGCTCTTTGGGGCAGGGATTCTTTTGCTTGTACAATACACTGTGCAGAAGGGCCCAAATGTTCATTTGTCATAGGCTACAAATGCATAAACATTGAATAACAGCAGGATTTAATCCCAAAACCATGGCATGTCTGTTGCCTCAGTGTAATTGCTTACTTTTTTAACTTCATACTTAATGGCGAGTTTTAAGCGGCTAAGGCTGGGGCGGCCGTGTTCTCCATTATTATGGCTCATTTCCACATCACCATTCAAAATAGCTTCCACTTCTTCTGTATTTCTGCACAAATCAAGGAGCCCAACTACGAAATCCTTGCATTGCATAGACAGTTTCTTGTAATCATTCTAGAAAAGAAAAGAAGAAAGAAGGTAACTTGCTGTTTAGATCTAACATGAGAGAAGCAGTTCTACATCCCAGCTACACATCTGAGAGCATCAAGAGTTTGTTTGCATCTCATTATGTCTGTTTTGGTGTAGTTTTGTTTGTTTGTGTGGTGTTTTTTGTTTGTTTGTTTGCTTCTGGTTGATTAACAGCACTTTGTTATCAGACATCTACTTCCCCTGAACGTTCAAAGAGTAGGATGCATCTCACCTTGGTTACCTTGGACATCTACATTACCAATTTTTACACAACTTACTTCTCTAGACTTGCTTTAGAGCAAATTGAAAGTAAAAAAACCACTTTTGGAAATATTGTATGATGTATTTCAAGGACTATTTCAAGTTGATTTGAATAGCATAGGGGAAATTTTTCTATTCACTGTCACAGAAGTCTACATAACTAGCTCAGATGTAGAAAGTTACACTACAGAGATCTCGGTTGGATGAGTATCCTACAGAGAACACACCTAAACAACTTCCCAGCCTTCTTGAGAATTACATAAATATTTTGAATTTTCTTCTGCCTTGTATTATTCTTGTAAATCTTGTCTTCCTCATTTTCTAACATCTCTTAGCTTGCGAACACAAAATTTGATTGCTGTTTTCCGGCAACAGTGTCAGCAGTGCTACAGATAACACAGCCATACCATATCTCTAACTTCAACTCAGTGCTCTTTAGCTCAAATATCTCACAACAGATTTTGCTGTGTGAGCCAAAATGTTGCTCTACAACTGCATGTTCAGTTGCTCATTGCTTTAACTACCAAATATTCTTCCCAGTCAATGTTTTCCAAAAGGCGTCAGTCAAAACAGGAAAAGATATTTTGATCACTGCAATCCACAGTTCAGTTCATTCACCATTCCTTACTTGCAGCTGTGTTTGGGTCATAAAAGACAAATATAGCTAGACTAATAGGGAGCTAGATGGATATAGATATATGTGTATATTTAAAGCTAAAAAATGTGCACAGATATATTGCCCCTGGCCTAGATCTTACAAGAGATTTACCCATAAATGTGTCAAAAACGTCAGATATTTTTTGTGATCTCTACTAATTTTAATGTCAAGATGAAATTACTGTAGAATTTTTCCCAAACAGAATGAAAAAAGCTCCAACCACCCCACACTGTAGAGTACTGCTCATGTAGTTAGTCTGTTTCATAGTCACAGTAACTTTCTATGAATGCTTTTACTATAGTGACACATCTCCCCCTCTTCTGGTCTGCTCTTCACAGCATCCCCCCTTCTCCCACTCTTAGTCTCTGCTTAGTCCCTTCTTTTTAATTACTTCCTTCATACTAACTGCCATCTAATGCACACACTGGAAGCAAAACCCTTATTTGGAGTACACAGAATACCCTAATTCATTTGCCAAGGGGGTACTTCATGCATGTTTGTGCTTTATTACCCACACCATACCAGTTTATTGCTTGGATATATTAAAGGATTGCATCCAAGTTTTACATTTCACTTTACTTAGATGCATGCAAACGTTCATAAGCAAATAGACACTACTGTATGTCTGCATAGAACTGCTAGTGATTTATCTTTTTAATTAATGTAAGCACAATAGCTCCAATCTGTCATAAAAAAGAACTTTAATGTCAGTTCTCTACAAAGACAACAGAAGCTAAATAGTAAAACTAACCATTTCATGACATGCTGTATATTTTATTATTTTCCCTCTCTTCAGAAGAGTAACAAGAGAAATTAACCAAAATCTTACCTTCCTAACACTACAGAAAGACATTTTTTGCGAGTAATGTATCACCTTCTGTTTGGCTTTCATTTTTGTAACAGCAGCTAAGATAAGATTCAGTTTTCAATCATTTTAATACATAAATGTCCTCTTCAAAGTGAAAGGAAAAGGAGCCACTTGAGATTCACAGGCAAAGGAAAAGCACAGAGACAACCTATGCACCCTTGTACCATTAGATACTATGGACTGTTCCAAACTGGTATCTGACCCTTGAACGTGAAATGAAAAAAGGATTTTTCTTTGATAAATTCAGAAACAAAATAATTTGGCCTTCACAAATAACTACTACAAAATGTTGTTTGCAATATATTGGTATGTGCATATTTTCTGGTAAGACATATACACATATATAGATATAGAGATACAGGTATATACATACATGCACACTCACACATATTTATCATCAGTATTTTCCAGCTTTGGTGACTGAGACACAACATGGATTTTCAAAACAGTATGTAAGATGACAATGACCCCATGGTGGACTCCAATGCCTTTGAGTGGTCTCAAAACAAAAATCATATATGATAATTTATTCTAATGAAGAATATGACTTTTTTTTTCTGAGTGTAATCCTATTTCCCAATATGAATACGGAAGGGGCATTTTAAAAATAGCCAGATAGCTCCATTCACACTTTGCAGAATTATCCTTTCTGAATTTAGGTTTGTACGTGGCATCACAGTATATATTAGCAGCCAGTAAATTTGTCCATAAACCCCATTGGTTTACTTCCTCTTTTGGAAATGCAATAAACCAGCTTCCCCTCCTGTGAAATGCTGCCACAGCTGTGATCAGGGCTGGCAGCCGAGCTGAAATGTCCTCGGTGGTCAGGTTACAGCAAATGAACTTGGGGGACTTAAGCGGTGGCCAGCACCTCCACCTCCAGCCCAGCTGTGCCACAGGGTGGTTGTAACAGCAGTCAGCTGAAGGCAACACACATCCCTGCTCCAGTTCAGAGTTTGCTGCCTTGAGATGTATTCACTTATGAAGAACTTACCCTCTCAGGGAAGGTTACGGAGGACAGAAGGGACAGTAATGCCTTAAACTGCTACAGGAAGATTTGTCAGGCACTGACCACAGGACAGGCAGCTCTAGCCAGGCAACTTTGTTCCTAAGAAATCAAGTGTGTTAACTTGCAGAGACTACTCCATGGGCCACCTGTTGCCCCATCTCCTTGGTCCACTTAAATGTGTAGCGACAGTAAAAATGATTAATACACTGTTCTTGCCATGTCTGTGCCTCTGTCATGCAGGCACAGAAAGATCCCCCTCCCGCCTCTCACGCATCTCTTACCACTGATTTGAGCCAAGGCAACGTGGTAACTTGCTTGTCTTATTTTTGAAAATGGCCACAGACATGCAGATGAAGGCCCAGGACACCGAGCTATGTGGTACAGCTGACACACTGGAGGGAAGGGAGGCCATCCAGAGGGACCTGGACAGGCTGGAGGGGTGGGCACAATCCAACTTCATGAAGTTTAACAAGGCCAAGTGCAAAGTCCTGCACCTGGGTCACGGCAATCCCAAGCACAAATACTGGCTGGGCAGAGCATGGACTGAGAGAAGTCCTGAGGAGAAAGACTTGGGGGTGCGGGTTGATGAAAAGCTCAATGTAAGCCAACAGTGCACAAATGAAGCCCGGAAAGGCAACAGTATCCTGAGACACATCAAAAGCAGCATGGCCAGCAAGTTGAAAGAGGTGATCCTGCCCCTCTGCTTTGCCCTGGTGAGACCTCACCTGGAGTACTGTGTCCAGCTCTGGAGCCCCCAGCACAAGAAGGACATGGAACTCTTGGAGCTGCTCCAGAGGAGGGCCACGAAGATGATCAGAGGGCTGGAGTACCTCTCCTATGAGGACAGGCTAACAGAGCTAGGGTTGCTCAGCCTGGAGAGGAGAAGGCTCCAGGGAGACATTCCTGTGGCCTTCCAGTATCTGAAGGGGGCCTACAAGAAAGCTGGAGCGTAACTTTTTACAAGTACTTGTAGTGATAAGACAAGGGGTCATGGCTTCAAACTGGAAGAGGGTAGATTTAAATTAGAAATTAGGAAGAAATTCTTCACAATGAGGGTGGTGAGCCACTGGCACAAGTTGCCAAGGGAAGCAGTGGATGCTCCATCACTGGAGATGTTCAAGACCAGGGCAGATGGGGCTTTGAGCAACCTGGTCTAGTGGGAGGTGGCCCTGCCTCTGGCAGAGTGGTTGGAACTAGATGATTTTAAGGTCCCTTCCAACCCAAACCATTCTATGATTCTATTATTTTGTGAATTCTATGAGTTCTCCTTTACTGTAGATTGTAAACTTAATGAATTAAAAAAGCAGTCCTGGGAGATTTGAGAAGGAAGTTAGCAATTAAATTATAGTTGGAGACTGTAAAAACAATGAGCCCTTAATTCCGCAGCAAAGCACGCCTGTGCTTTATTTTACACATGTGACAATGCTGGTTCAGGACTCCTCAGCAGTTTAAAGAAAAAACAATTTTGCCACCCCAAGGACAAGGTTTCAGCAAAAGGAAGGTGATGACTTTGGGTGCGCACTATGGGGGATGAGGAACCAGGGGAACAAGACACTGGTAGCAGAGGAATGACAGGAGAGGTGGGGGTGCTCTGAGGGCGGCTGCTGCTGAGAGGGGTCACCTGCCCTCTGTGGAAGGAGCAGCCGCAGACTGTCTTGGTGTGCTGGCCAAGGGAGCAAGCAGGCCACCACTACTCTGAAAACCTCAGCTGGCCAAGATTTGCCTTACCTTTGACCTAAGCAGGACAGCATGGCCAGGACAGCAGGAGAGCATCACCGTAACTATTTCTCCCAGAAGAAATGGATCTTCTCCAGGCAGCCTCCTGTGACCAGTGACAGGCTCCTGCTCTCCATGAGACTGTGCCCAGGATAAAAATGCTCTCAGGACACAGGCTGACACTGAACCCCACAGATGAGATGGAGCACTGCTCCAGACCACGTACTGGCCCTGCTCTGGGAACCATAGAGACCAAGACCAGAAATATGGGTACTGCTATACCAGGATTTCCAATTTCAAAGAGCCTTGCAAATCTAAGTGGGACCTAAATGCTGGATTTAGGCTCCCGAGTAGGCAGATAAACACATTATTCCCTTTACAAAGGTGGCCCTTACTCCTTCAGTGCCTTGGTTCTTCTCCTCTAAAAGGTGAGGTTACCTTTTACTTTCAAGGGAGCTGGCAATACCTGCAATGAAGATTGAGATCTTATTTCTGTAATGAGGGTTGTATAAATGAAAACAAACAAAAAAACAGACTTTGAGATGATAAATTGAATTTTCCTTCTCATTAGAAAAGCAAACTCGAATGACCTTATTAGGGGTATTAATTTACAGCAAACAGTAACATACCTATGTTTAATTTAAAAAGACATTTTCCACTCCATCGGATTAAAAAACAGTCTGCTACCATTATAGCTGCAGTGGACTTTGCACTAAATGCAAATCTTACCCATTTTGAACAGCACTGGGCCACAGCTGTCCCTCTCAAAACTCCAAGCCACATCTCTGCAGGTCAACATTTGTCAGGTATCATGTACATCCTTATGGACACAGTACAAATATTAGCTCTGGGGTGGGCAAACGATTTAGATGACAAGAAATACAAGCACAATCCCCTAAAATAAAACATTCTATATAATATGAGATCTTGTAAAGCTGCACACTTACCTATGTCATAAAAAGCTAAACTAAATGGTGTTCAGAAAATCCTGAACATCTTGGAATTACTCAGGAATCCTGAATTAGCTGTTTGCTTGGAACAGAAATGTTCCTTCATTGTGGCTGACACATCTGTCCAGTAGTCTTCCTTCAGATGTCGCCTTCTACTTTTTTCTGGTTTTACTCCCAATACAGAATGATCCTCTGAAACACTTGTGAAAACAATACCAGCAATCAAATGCAATAGGCATGTAGAGCTAGGTGACACCGTTACAGAAGTTTGAAGAAAATAAATGATTTCGTTCCACAGACCAGTGGTTTCCACTGATTATGATGTTTCCTATTTTGCACGAATCACAGCTGCATGGTCAGCGTTATCTCTAACACTATCTGATGGTATGAGACAGGAGAGACACATAATTTACAAGATAGTAATGAAACAACGAGCATTCCAGTTGAGCATTAACCCCTTCCATTGCCTCTGAGGAAGATCTGGGAACTACCTGTGCCACCTGTGCCAATGGTTGCTGTAGGCACCCAACAGGAAGCTCCCCTGCAACAGTACCCCACCAGCACTATAAAATACGTGACTTTTAAAACAGTGTATTACCAGGAAGTTCAATTTTTATTTAGGTAAGGTTTGAATTACTTCAAATGGTCCAGGCAAACCCTAGGTGGAGCTAAAGATTTGCTACATCCAGCTAATCTATGCACTAAAAATATACCTCTTTCAATTACACTAACTACATGTAACACATTTTTATCAAAACCACATTTTTACGCAGGGACTACAGTACCCTGGCAGTTGTAGCAGACAACTGAAATAAAGGTCATAATTTTTAGATAAATTGCTGCAGCCAAGGATATGAGCACAAACAAGCCCAGACTCAGTAAAGACAACAGCATCCATTTCCTGCAACTCGCACACACAACAGCTGTACCTCCCCTGCTGTACCTAAGCCAGGTATTTCTCAGTCAAGCCCCCAGCCTGTCTAGATACTGTAAAAGTTATCACTTGTCAATAATATAAATATTAACTCCATCAATACATGGATAAGTGTGCATAAACGCCATTCCTGTAAGATTTTATGTTGCCAGCCATCTGCTCCTGGTGAAACCTTAAATTCAGGGAGAGTTAAAATTCCATGTTGCCTTGTGCTCCTGCTCCTCATTGTTCCTACTCACCTTCACTCTACTCTGAAGAGCGGATTCACCCTCAGCAGAGCGTGGCTGATGAGCGCTCAGCAATATGGAGCTGCTCTGTGTCTTGTCTAGCCCCCTGTTTCTGCTGAGGGACAGTACCTCAGAATCTCTACTGCAGCCCTTTATACAACACTGCACTAGAAGCGAAGCTCTAGTTTTAAAACTGAGATCAGAAAGGAACTAACAAACCAGAAGTCACCCAGGGACGAGCCAGGACACACCAAGGAAGGGCCTCCCCAGATCAGTGCAGGGTGGCTGCAGAAGCTTGATCTCTGCCCCAGCCCACCTTTTGTCACCCATGTGCTCCATGCCCTGCCCTGGTGGCACCAGGGACAAACACTGCACTCCCAGTTCATCTCACCGGGGGCGTACTGCAGCATACATTTGAAGGACACTTCTCGCTGACTGTTCCAGATGATGATTTTATTTATCTTTATAATAATCTTAGCTTGTGTCACTCCAATTGTGGTAAGCAGAGCTATGAAGTCCCTAGAAATCAGACACGCAATTTATCTCAACAGAGCTGTGAACTTAACAGGCTGCATTAATGTGTATGAAAAATGGTTTTCTCTTCTGTTCTAAATTTACTCCCCTTTAAGTTAATCAAGTCCTTTTGTTCACATCTTCAGCAGCTGCTAAAGAGAAACGAACAGAGTATGCAGTTCATGTACTCCTCTCTGAACTGTCTGTTAAACCAATGGATGGAATCTCTGTCCACTTGAGATTTCCTCAGTCCTAAGGATTTCTGCCAGGGACTTCATGGGGCAGACATTCATCCTCTATATTAAGCCGAAATGTTCCCCCATTTTGTCTTTTTGACATAAAATAAAAATTCTCCTCTGCTCCTATTCCAGCTGTTTAGCCGCTGTTTTTAAGCTCCCCTCGCACGTTTCTCCTCTTTCTTTTCTCTTTCCAATAAATATTTCAGCTGCTTACAACAGACCTTACACAAAGATACACCTGTGAGCACCAGTCAAGGGTAATTCGTTCAGAATTGCAGCATCTCAGCTCAGGCTGGTTGAGCAGAGTGGGGCTCACAGCCTTGCAAACTGCTACTGCTAAAAAGATTGAGATTAAATATTGAGCATGGCAATCTCAAATTCTTCCCAAAACAATTTTGCAAACCATTCTATTACTGCTTTGGAGGGGGTTTGATCTCCTGCTAGTGAAGTCCACACACCCTGCTTTGTCACAGCAGTATCAGATACTAGCATCTACTTTCAACAAAGTCCCCTAAGGTAAACCCAGTCCAAGGGTTTGTAACTAACCTAAGTCATAATTAACATTGCCAATGTTTGCACAAGGCCTGACTTAGCATTTACTGAAAGCAAAAAGCTTACATTCTTACTACTATCTTAACAAAAATAAACTGTGGTAAATATTTTTGTAGATTGTGTATCACTGAATCCATATAACAAAAAACCCAAACAAAGAACACTCATGCTTCAAGAATCTAAGGGGCCTTGAATCTCAGGCCTCAACTGTTTTTTTTGTTTCAAAATCATGCTGTGAAACATTAAAAGTTCTATGTAACACTTCTTTACCGTCACAGAGTTCACATAAAACTCAGTACAAATAAGTGAAAAAGAGGAAGAGGTGAGTAGAAATATCAGAGAGAAGCAATGCTTTAAAAAAGGAAAAGAAGGGCATTATTTAGAGGAGGTTCTGTGAATACACGCAAAATACTGCAAGGACCAAGAAAGCTTTCAGTCCAAGTACAAGAAAATAATGAGAATGCATGAGGGTTTAATAGAATTGTTTAGTCTGTCTTGCATAAGTGACAAAAATGCATCACTTTAGTCTTCTCTTTC